AGAAAAGGCTTGTTTCTGTAATGGGCTTAAACTGAGTATCAGGGGAAATTTTAGGAATTATCTATAAAAGAACCTACCCTGTGACCCATATCTATAATCCCAGCTACTCAAGAAGGTAAGGCAGGAGGATAGAAAGTTCAAGGCAAGTTGGGGCAATTTAGGGAGACCCAGCCTCTAAATAAAATTAAAGGACTGGAGATGTAGCTCAGTGGTAGAGCACTCTGGGTTCACTTCCCAGTACTGGGGGTGGAGGGAGCCTTGAAAAAAGAATTATCTAAAATAGAAAACAAGGAAACAGATAAGGCAGCTGAGGATATAGCTCTGTGTTAGAGTGCCTCTGGGTTAAATCCCCATTACCTCAGAAAGAAAGACAGGAGGGAAGAAGGGAGGGAAAGAAAGAGAGAATGAAAGAGGAGTCACAGTTTACTATTACCTTTTAGCGCTCAGGGAGCTGGTATAATAAACATCCTACAAAGTGTAGGGCAGTCCCACACAATGAAGAACTGTCCATAAAAATGCCACTACAACAGGGCACAGTGGCTCACACCTATAATCCCACCAATTTGAGAGGCTGAGGAAAAAGGATTACAAATTCAAGGCCAGTCTCAGCAATTTAGTGGCAAACTCAATAATTTAGCCAGAATCTGTCTCAAAATTTTAAAATTTAAAAACGGACTGAGGATATAGCTCAGTGGTAAAGTGTCCCTGCATCCAATTCCCAGTCCAAACAAACCAACCAACCAAAAACAAAAACAAAAAAACACTTTTGGTCCTTTGATAAACACTGGAAAGTTGGTTATGGCTTAACAAGTACAAGTTTGGAGAACTTAACTCTAGGGCTTCTCAAGAGTATCCTTTAACATTTTTTTTTTTAATTACAAATTGCATTTCACTCAGCAAATATTTACTTCCAAGCATAAGAAGATAAACTGAGGCACATTAAAATTTTAAAGAATTTATTTGGGTAGACAGCAGTTCATAAATTAGGCAGCTTCAGAATGCAAGTAGTTTGGGGCTCCATCAAACAAACACAGGGAAAGGTTTTTATGAAGTAAATACAGAGCAAGGCAATATTTGACTGGCTAAAATGGAACAGTAGCCTTATTTATTTTATTCCAGTTGAAAGCCTTTAGAAGTTAGTTGGTGGTTTAAGTTTATGTTTTCATTTTACTCAAATATGACAATTTACAGAGTTCAATGAGGTTTGTATAAGTGGAAATTCATAGTACTAGAGCCTTCTCAGACAATGGATTCACAATGATTTTCACACAGAAAATGCTTTTTGTAGAGCAAGTAGCATTTCCTTCTTTAATTTCACAACCATGAAAATCATATTGGCTGTGGCCTACCTTTAAAAACTATACCAAGAAAAAAAAAAGTTAGCTTTTCACAAAAAATATTTCAATGTCATTTATCCTAATCTCACCTTTCTATTCCAAACTTCATATTTTCATGACCCTGTTATCTTTCTTTTCTTCCTGTGGTACTAGGAATTGAACCCTGAGGTGCTCTACCATTGAGGTACATCTCCAGGCCCACTTTTTAAAAAGTTTTCATTTCGAGACAGAGTTTCTATATAAATTGCCAAGGCTGGCCATGAACTTGTGATCTTCCTACCCCAGCCTCTAGAGTAGCTGGGGTTACATGCAAGCACCATGGCATACAGTTTATTCTGCATGCTATTACATATGTTTATAAGCTACCTCAAATACTTTTGGAATAAAATAGGATATAAACTTAAAACTATAATCAACAGAGAAAAATGGATAATAGGAATAGTCAGGATAATAGTAGCACAGTCAGCTTAGGAGGCTGAGTCAAGAGAATTTCAAGTTCAAGTTCAGCCCAGGCAATCTAGCGAGACCCTGTCTGGAAAAAAATAAAACAAGGTGAAGATGTAGCTTAGCAGTAAAGAGCCCATGGATTCATTCTCTAGTACTGCAAAAACTAGTACATGCTTTTTACCTTCAACAGTTTGTAATCAAATTTTTTTAAAAAAGCTTCAAGCTGAAGAACATTAGAGAATAAGACAGTAAGAAGTGATGACAAATTATATAATCATCATATAAAGACTGTGTATGGATTAAAACAATAATTTAAAATAGCATATATTAAGCCTTTATCAAGAACTGTGGTAACTCCAATCCTCATAGCACTTAGGTAAATTGTTGTTTTGCTCTGTTTGAGGGGAAAGGGGGGTATCAGAAATTGAAACCAGGAGCACTCACCCCTGAGCCACATCCCCAGTTCTTTTTTAATTTGTTTGTTTGTTTGTTTTTGACAGGGTTTTGCTAAATTCCTGACGAACTTGATAAGTTGCTGAGGCTGGCCTCAAACTTTCAATTCTCCTGCCTCCTTAGCCACAGGTATTGCAGGCATGTGCCACTGCACCTGGCCTAATATTTTTGTTTTCTTATTTGTACTACTGGGGTCAAACCCAGGACCTCTTATATGTCTGGGAAGCACTTTAACAGTGAGCCACACTCCCAGCCCCAAGATAATAGCTATTAAGGGTGGCCTAGGGTAGTATGTACCCAGAATCATGCCCTAGAAGACTTAGATTTCAGCTAATCCCTGACTTATAAGAGGCAATCAAAAGAAAGCAGTAAGGTAGAAATAGGAGTGGGGGTGGCAGTGAACATAGGAACAGGTTAAAATGACATTAAGTAAGCAAGTAAAGAGACTAACTAGAGAGAAGATTGAGGATTACAGGAAAATCTGGGAGGCAGGGAACAAGCAGTTTATAAATGGCCTTAAAACTCAAAAGAGATTCCATTTAAAACAGTGAACAATAAGAAACCATTGTAGGTTATTGAGCTCAAAAAGGATATTAAAAAGGTTTTCTTGGAAAGATATTACATGACAGTGATATAAAATAATCCTAACTTCAAAGCTAAATTCATATTAGTAATTACTCTTCTTGGATCCTATAACTAATGCAATCAGACACTTCAAGGCCTGGGATGCCAGGAACATTAGAGAAGCCTCTGCTGCTGCCTATTTCTAGCAACTTCTCTGCAAGCAGGATACCTTCAGGTAGTTTATTTTCCATTCCCCTACTTTCCAGTTGTTTTATACCCAGCCTGCTTGACCCGTAATACATTTGTTTTCAACAGATGATCTCTATATCTCTTCTTATATGGTTCCTGATTATATTTATGATTCAAATACAACCTCTAAGGTCCTAAACATATCTGGAGGCTTCAAAGATATTGATAATAAAAGCAACCCTAATCCAAAGCAATCTACTTATATAAGTTTCATCCTACTTGTTTTTCCTAAAATGGTGCTTTCTCAGAAACTTACTAAGCATTAGGAACTGCTATCAAGATACAATTTCACAAAACATTATGCCTAGCCACATGAGGTGGTCCATGCCTGTAATCCTAGCAAACCAGGAGACTGAGGCAGGAAGATCTCAAGTTGCACAGCCTGGGCAGTTTAGTGAGACACTGTCTCAAAATAAAAATAAAAAATAAAATATAAAACATCTGGGGGTGTAGCTCAGTGGTAGAGCACCCTTGGGTTAAATCCGAGCCCCCCCCCCCCCCCCCCCCCCCGCCCAATACACACACACACAATGGTGTGTGTGTCCTCGCGCGCCTAATTCAATTGTCCCATCATCCAGCAAGATCTGTTAAGATTATGGTAAATAAAACAGAAGATGGTAGTTGGAAAGCTGGGGACAGGGAAATAATCTTGTAACATTTCCATATCCAAATGAATCCAGTTCAGAACTATTTCTACTAGTTTCCTCAATTAAAATACAAATTAACAATTTTAAACTGTGTACTTTGCAGACTTTAAATTTCTCAGTACTCAAGTTTCAATTTGGAAGCAAGGAGGGAGTGATTCTTCTACCTAGAACTCCATGATAGATTTGAGTAGTGCATAGGGCCTATGTTCTCCAGCCCTGAATAGCATAAATTTAAACCTTTGCCACTAAAAACTGGAGGCTGTTGTCAAACTATAATAGTTATAAACATGACTCAGACCAAGTGTGTCTTTAGCAAAGATATGCTGAACTGATAATGAAGGAGCAAGCTAAATGGTAAATTGAAGAAAATGATGGAGCCTGTGGTCCCAATTACTCCGGATCACTTGAGTCCAGGAATTGGGGCAACATAGCAAGACCTGGGCTCAAAAAAAAAAAACCAAACAAAACAAAAAAAGCTTAAGATTGCTATCCTAAAAAACCACAACCTTTCAGGAGTTATATTCTCCCAGTCAGAAATAATTTGTATCTCAATTAGTCAACAAGATGTAATTATAGAAGTCTAAACCCCGAAACCTTAACCAATGCAATGTTATGTGGCCCTTATGAACAAAGCTCCCTTTTGGTTTTGAAAGGACATGTAGCCATCCTTCGACTTTATTTTCAAAATTTTCATAGTGAGTGAGTGTGTGTGTGTGTGTGTGTGTGTGTGTGTGCATATACTTTTTTAAACCACAACTAAAAATGTTTCTACAAGTCGGTTAACTATTCCTCATCACCTTATCCCACCTTTTGTTTTTATAAATTCTAGGAAGGGTGGTGCTAGCTATAAATATCAGAGTATTCCTCCTGCACTTAATGAATCTGAAACCCCTTCAAGTGGGACTCTCCAGTAATTTAATATCCTTTGTTTCAATGTTACACGCACAAAGACTGGCTATCTGTAAGACTTTTAAGACTGTTGACTACCCAAGGGTGAGGCCGCGAAGTGCCCCCCCCCCCCCCCCCCCCCGGAGTGCTGAAGACACTGATTGCAAGACTGGGGCCCAAGGGGCGCTGGGTCGCGCGCCCTGGTCACTCGCCCAAGCAGCAGCTCCAGCGCGGCAGCCCGCGCGGGCCCGTGGTTCTGGGGCGAGGGCCCCGCTTCCCCGGCCTTTTGTTCCGGACTCGGCTGCTTCCCGCCCACCCACTCCCGCCCTTCCTCTCGGTCCTAGGAGTGGGGTGAGGACGGTGCGGGAAGCAGAGCTGGGAGAAGGATGGCTGCGTTGGCTGTGGGAATACTCACCCCGCTCCGCTCGGCCCCTGACCCCGCAGCCCAGCCAGGCGGGCGGGGCGACGGGGCTGGGGGAGGGGAGGCGGGGACCGGCACCTAGCGCCCCGTGAGGACACCGCCGCGCGTGCGGCCCCAGGGAGGAGGGACATAGGAGGTGGGCCCAAAGGGGCCGTGAGGGCGGCGGCGACCCAGCGAAACCCCACTCGGCGAGGGAGGCCCACCAGAAGGGCGCGTCCCCTCCCACGGCAGCCACCAACAACAACAAACGAGTCCGAGCATGCGTACTGGGTTTTCCCGCGCGCCTAGGGAAGCGCCCCGCGCAGGCCCGTGACGTCGTCGGCCGCGCGCTCAGGGCCGACCAGGCCGGGGCTTGGACGCGGTGTGCTGGGGTTAGACCCCTTTGCTGCGGGCGTAGACTGGAACCAAGGCCCCGCCCCTCACTTCGTTCGCGTGCCCCCTCGCTCTCCAGCCCGGCTAACCTGAGTTTGACTGAGCCCTTGGTGGAGGACAAAGGCGGCTCATTGCGGAGGAGGAGCTGAGGGCAGGGGGAAACTTGGGGGAAGGAGTACTAGCGGTTTCAAGGGTCCCTGCACGCTGTCCTCCAAGACATTTTCTAATATCGGGAATATAAAAGAATGATCAATGAAGAACAAGAGTAGAGCAACAGCAAGAATGTAGTGCCACTAGCATTCCCCTGAGAGGCTAGGAAGCCATGCCAGCGAACATTGCAAAAAGTAACCAGGAGCACCACCATTAAACGCATACACGTGTCCACCACTTGCTTAAGAATGGGGGAGAAGTTACGAATTCGAGTATCGACAGTAGTACCATCTGTGGCACACATCTCAGGGGGAAAAAAAAAAAGAGTGTGTGTGCGTACACGTTGGAGGAAAATAGTAGGAATAGGGAAAAGACTACAGAATGACTAGGAATTATAGGGGTGAGATAATAAACATCTCAGGGAAAACACATCTGCTCCTGTAAAACAATAGAATTGTAAAACAAAGGTGTAAACGCAGGTAAAGAAGTAATGAAAAACCTACCTTCAAACTTTCAGGGAATGGAGCCTGTGAGGTGGGGAAGGCCTGTAAACCCAGCTATTTGGGAGGCTCAGACAGGAGGATGTCTAGTTCAAGGCCAGCCTGGGCAACTTAGACTGTGTCTCAGAATTAAAAGGCGCTGGAGTTGTAGCTCAGTGGTGATCCTCCTGACTTCAACCCTCAGCACCAGGGTGAGGGGTGGGGAGTGGGGTAATTTCAGGGCATGGTTTTGATCCGGTAGACAGTCATATAAGAGATCCCCATTGGAATAAACTAGGTAATAAGTACCCAGTACTGTTAATCCATAACCATTTCAAAATAAAAGCTTGTTTTTTAAAAGAACCATACTGATCAGTGGTAACCAGGAAGAAATTAACTGAAAATTGGCTTAAGGGAATTTGAAGGGATGATGGATAGGTTCTATATCTTGTTTGTACTGAGGATTAAGTCACTGCTTTCTTAGTCAAACCCCACAAAAAGTATGATTTTTGCATGTAAGATTTTAAAATTAATCTTTTAAAAAATATTGCTAGCAGAAAATAAACTTCAACTAACATTTTAGCAACTACAAAATGATTGGTAAGTGCTAGTTTAAATTATACATTTGATCTTTTTAAGTACAAGACAGTGAATTTTTTGTTTATTTTGCAGTAGGATTCAACCCAGGGGTGTATGTTTATTTTGAGACAGGGTCTCACTAAATTGCCCAGGCTGGCCTTGAACTGCCATTCTCTAGACTCAACTTCCAGAGTTGTCCAGATTACAAGCACGCCAGTTTACAGGAGTATGTAAAAATAATAATTCATAATATCCTCTAGATAGTGTGATCCTACACTGGGATATAAGTTTAAAATTACATGGTCAGTGTCTTATTTTTCTCAGTCTCATCAGTCCCTCTCATTTATACTTTCTGTTCATATCTCATAGGCTACACGAGATATAAAAAAGGTAGGAGGGGCTGGGGCTGTAGCTCAGTGGTAAAGTGCTTGCCTTGCATATGTAAGGCACTGGGTTTGATTCTCAGCACCACATAAAAATAAATAAAGATACTGTGTATTAATCTACAAATATATATATATAAAGGTAGGAAATGTAGCCATTTGCTCAGGTAAACCTTGACAGGGGGAGATTGTTTTATTTCTAAAAGAAAGGAGAATGGATACTGAGGGGGAAAATGCTATCTGGACTGCTGCTTGTAGTAGCAGATCTCTTCTACCACCTTCCAGGAGATCCTCAGGGAAATGTAAATTACATAAGAGTTACAGGAGGTAATCTGTTTGGATGGCAGAGATAAGAAACTTGCCTTCAAACTGTGTATGCATAATACTTACCCAAATATATGAGAGAAAAAAAGCAATAGTTGGCAAACCTATGGAGACAGTAAAAAGATCAGTGGTTACCAGCCAGAGTTTGCCAGGAAGGAAGCAAAGAGGGGAGAGATGAACATGTGGAACATAGGACATTTATTAGGGCAGTGAAACTACAATGTGTGATAATGTAATGGTAAATATATGACATTTTGCATCTATCAAAATCCATAGAACTGTCCAACACAAAGAATGAACCTTAATATAAATTATGCACTTTTGTTAATAATAATGTGTCAATATTGGCTCATCAATTCTAACAAAATGTACCAATATATTAATAAAAGGGAAAACTATGAGTGCAGTAGACAGGAATTCTCAATGCAATCTGCTGAATTTTCTGTAAGCCAATTTTTTCCTAAAACAAAAAAAAAATTAAAACTCTATTAATTTAAGAAAATGATACTGCCAAAAAGAAAATATATACATATATCCACATCAAAGAAAGAAAGAATTGGAGAATTAAAAACAACCACAGAAAGATGATTCAGTCTTTCTATCACACTACTTCTACCCATGAACTTTACTACACATGAAGTATAAATATATTTGGGGAGTTTGCATTATTTTTATATTTTCATAATTTTTCTGCAGGGGCACTTAACCATTAAACTATATCCCTAGTACCTTTGTTTTATTTTTGAGACAGGATCTTAACCATTAAGCTATATCCCTAGTACCTTTGTTTTATTTTTGAGACAGGATCTTGCTCAGTTGCTTAGGGCCTCACTAAATTGCCCAGGATGTCCTCAAAACTGCAACCCTCCTGCCTCAGCCTCTTGGGTTGCTAGGATTATAAGCGTCCACAACTGCACTGGCTAATTTGGGGGCATTTTATTTTACATAAATTATACCCAAATTTTATTAAAATATAACTGGGTATGGTGGCACATGCCTATAATCCCAGCAACTCAGGAGGCTGAGGCAGGAGGGCCACCGATTCGAGGCCAATCTGGGCAATTTAGGGAGGCCATAAGCAATTTAGCAAGACCTGTCTCAAAAATTTAAAAAACCAAAAATAGGGCTAAGAATATATGTAGCACAGTGATAATGTGCCCCATGAATACCAGAAAAAGAACAATGCCACCAAATCAAGTCTACAGTTTAATGAATTTTGGCTTGGGGAATGGTGTATGAGGTATACCTCTAAGCTACCTCCCTAGCCCTTTTTATTTTGAAACAGGGTCTCACTGAGTTGCTAGGGCCTTGCTAAAATTGTTGAGGCTGGCTTTGAATTTGCAGTCTTCCTGCCTTAGTCTCCTGAGTTGCTGGGATTATAGGCATGAGCTACTGTGACCTTCAATTTTGTGAATTTTAATGAAGATATCCACCTTTGTGCTATGATCTGATTGTTGTTGTTGTGCTGTGGTTGTTTTTTGTTTGTTAGTTTGTTTGTTTTTGTTTTTGATACTAGGGATTCAATCCAGGTGCTTAATCACTGAACTACCTCCTCAGCCCTTTTCATTTTGTGTTTTGAGACTGGATCTTGCCAAATTGCTTAGGGTTTCACTAAATTGCTGAGGCTTGCTTCAAATTTACAATCCTCCTGCCTCATCCTCCTAAATTGCTGGGATTACAGGTGTGCACCACCATGACTGATTGGTCTACATGTTTTTATTTCTCAAACATTCATATGCCAATTTCTTAACTCCCAAGGTGATGGTATGAGGAGGTGGAGCTTTTCAATGAACTCAGAACCAGATCCTTATAAGACATGAAATCTACTGGTAACCTGATCTTGAACTTTCCAACTTCCAGATCTGTGAGAAAAGGTTTTGTGTTATTTATAAGACACCCAGTTTATGGTGTTTTGTTATAGTAACACAAATGGACTGAGACATTATATAACCATATCCCAACCAAAATATAGAATATTCGCATCATCCAAAAGTGCTACCTCAAACTCTTTGCAGTTAATCCCTCCCCACACCTACAGACCCTTAGCAACCACCCATTTACTTAGAGTAGTCATTCTAGATTTGTTTTGCCAATACTAGAAAATGGTATCATGCAATATGTGTATGTCAGCATAATGTTCTTGAGATTAATTTGTGTTGTTGCATTTATTGCTAATTAATTCCTTTTATAACTGAGTAGTATTCCATTGCACAAATATACCACAATTTTCTTAAACATTCATCTGGGAAGGGTATTTAGGTTGCTTCCAGCTTTGGGCTATTATGAAGAAAGATGTTATTAATAGTTATATACAAGTATTTTTGTGTACACATATTTTGATTTTTCTTGAGTAAACACCTAAGGGTAGACATACATTCTGTGATCAATATAGAAATAAAAGTTGTATTTTACTCTTCTATATTGATCACATTCCTTAGCTTGGAGCTTGTCTTATTTGATGATTCTAATTTAGAGATATTTTTGTTGCTGAATTTAGCTATCTTTATGAAATTGAACATGTTTAATAGTTACTGTCCCCCACACACAAGGGATTAAACCCAGGGGCTCTCTACCACTAAACTACATCCCCTGCCTATTTGTTTATTTATTTATAATGGAGATTGAACCCAGAGGTGCTCTACCACTGAGTCATATCCCCAGCCCTTTTTATTTTTTTCTCTAGAGACAGGGTCTTGCTAAGTTGCCTAGGGTTTCACTAAATTGCTGAGGCTGGGTTGGAACTTGTGA